GAATACTCGTGGGCGGAGAGAAAAGAAATTGTCGTCGCAGATGCACCACTCGCTCACCTGGAGGGAGAGAAAAGAAATACTCGTGGGCGGAGAGAAAAGAAATTGTCGTCGCAGATGCACCACTCGCTCACCTGGAGGGAGAGAAAAGAAATACTCGTGGGCGGAGAGAAAAGAAATTGTCGTCGCAGATGCACCACTCGCTCACCTGGAGGGAGAGAAAAGAAATACTCGTGGGCGGAGAGAAAAGAAATTGTCGTGCCAGATGCACCACTCGCTCACCTGGAGGGAGAGAAAAAGGCGGCGCTGACGCAGAGAGGGAGTTGAACAGCAGACAGGCGGGTGCAGAGAGCAGCGGGTGCCACTCGGTCGACCGCAGATGGACGCAAGCAGGAGGAGGCGAGGGGGGGCGAGGGGAGGCGAGGGGAGGCGAGGGGAGGCGAAGATTGTCCGAGATTGTCCGAGACCGTTGTCCGAGATTGCAGGATTGGCTTCTCGCGCACGCACCGCTTCGCCGGCCGAACGGTCGGTGTCCCGCTCGATCGTCCACGACGCGGCCGCCTGCGGTGTGAAGAGGGCACGACTGCGGCCACGCGGTGCCACGACTGCAGTCACGCTGTCCGGAGACTGCAGTCGCATCGCGGCGAGGCGACAAGATGGCGGTGGACTGGGTGCGGACGCCGTCGCGGGGAGTGGCGGGGAGCTAGCTGCGACCTACCAGCGCGCGGGGCGGCCTGTGTGCCACGTCTAGACTCGCTCACATGCCGGTAGCAAGGCACTCCGTCCCTCTCGCCGTCCCGCCGGTACGTCCCGTTGATGCTCTCGTTGCCGCACCCGCTCACTACAATCTCGGCCGCGCCGCTCGCCGCAGCCGCGGCCCGCCCGCCCGCCGAGCTGCAGCCCGCCCGACCGCGGATCATGTTGGCGAGAGAACTGCGGGCGTCGGCGGGTGCAGAGACGGTGGTGGCGGCCGCCGAGCGAGCCGCCGCCTTGGCCGCCGCCTCCTTCAGTGCCTGCTCCGCCGCGCGTGCCTCCTCCATGGCGAGGTAGCAGAGCGGATCGGGTCGGCTTGAGGTGCTCTCGGCGCTGAGGGTGTAGAGACTGCGCTGTCGGCGGGTGTCGAGCACGCGCTGAGTGAGACAGGCGGGGAAAAGAATTTTACAAGCGTGCTCCAAGTGCTCGGGGCGGCGCGACCATCAGCAGACGCCCAGGCCTTTGGCTGCGGAGCTCGGCAATGGCCGCGCCGCCCTCGACTCACGGGGCTGCCTTCCATCCGCCGCTGCTCAGGCCGGAAGAGGGGGGGAGACCTCCTGTTCCTCGCGGAACGGGAGCAGCCCCCTCCTTGCCCGGTCTGCGAAGCAGGGCGGTGGTCGTGCCTTCTTCGCTTCAAAACGACCACGCCGCAATCGTCGCCGGCGCGCGACACGTTCCCGGAGGCCAGACTGTCCTGGTCGAGAGTGTGTGCCGCCAAGGCGGGACCACTCGGGGACAGTGCCAGACTCAGGGAAACTCGCGAGTTTCCAGAATGGAGCACCAAACACCCTCTGTTTTCCCTGGAAATTTCCGGAAACGCAAAGTGCTGGGGCCCCTCTGTTTTCCTTTTTGTTTGCCGGAAAAGCTTGTTGCCGAACCGGCTGGTCAAAGCATGCTACAAGACACAAATTTCTACTCAAACGTTTGGTCAAATGCCTCCGCTCGGCGTGGGGCATGATCATCGAGATGGAGCCGACTGCACACCTCAGTTACAGTAATCCAAAACAACCTGACGTGGCGGCGGCAAACATCGGCAGGGGGCACAGGCGCCTTGTTGCCGATCTGAAGCTTACGAGTTCGCTCGCGAGCAACAGCAAGGGCAAGGATGGAGAGGGTGAAATTCGGCTCGGCTGGAAGGGGGCCTATGTGCGCTTTGGCAACACGGAGACCGGGCTGCTCAAGTTGGTCAAAGGGCGCGGCAAGTGGTCTCCGTCGGAAGCGACGGCAGCGGCGGACCGGTGGCGGGGGAGGAGGAGGAGGCCGAGGAGGAGGGGGAGGAGGGGGAGGAGGAGGATGCCCCCAAGGGAAAGCTCAAGGAGCAGCCTGGCGATTACCCCTTTGCGCGGCAGCAGGATTGCGATCTACGTTTGTTTGATTTTGAGGCTTTCGGAGGCTTTGGAAAGGAGGTTCGCAGCACCCTGAGGGAGGCGGCGAACCAGCTGAGCAACAAACTTTCGCACGCTCAGCACCTGGACGAGGTCACATGGACCACCAAGAACTGGCACGGGCTGCAGATGCAGCGCTTGTCTGTCGTCCTCCACACCGCCGTAGCGTGGCAGACGGTGAACGAGCTAGCGTGCGGGGAGAGCGGCATTGTGCATGGTGCGGAGTGCATTGCCGTTCTTAACGGAGTCGCTTAGGCGGCTCCGGTGGTGAGCCTGTGTGTGTGCCAGTCCGCGCCAGTCTGCGCCCTTGTCGTGGCAGTGTGCTGTGAGAGAGGCTTGTATCTTAAGAATTCTTTTTTGCCTTGTCGCCTACGCGGGGGCTCGGTATCGGTCGGCTTGTAGGGGGCTCCCTCAGCAGAGCTGTAGACCACGTTGCATGACGCTTCTTGGGCACATCGCGCGGCTTCCGTGATTGACCCTGCCTCAGCCCGGCGGGGGGGCGTTCCCGTTGGCGACG